AATAATGTGTACACATAAAGTAGTATTTACTAAAACAAATAAAAATAACAAATATATAATACTAAGTAAAACAAATAAAAAATAAAGATATACATGATATTAAGAAAAAAATAATAGAAAAAAATAAAATAAAGTAAAAATATAATATATATAAATAAATAAAAAATAGAATATTAAGAAAATATATATAAAAACATATAAAATTTAATATTAAGAAAAAATATATACATAATAAATGGAGAAAAATTAATACATCTATACATATATATATATAATGATATAAGATATATATAATATAAATAATATAATATAAATAAAAAAAGGAATATAGTAAATAAATAAAAAAATATAATTAAAAATATATATATAGGGGACGAAATTAATATAAAAGTAAAATTAAAGGGATAAATTTCAAGGTAAATTAAAGATTAAGATTGACTTAGGGGGATTATTAAATACTTTAAAAAATGAACATGCCTCGGGAGTAGATCTAGGTTCGAAACTTCGAAACCCCACCCCTTTTTGGTCATCGGCGTAACCCACGCTTTGGGTTTTTCAAACCAAATCTCAAGAAAAATAACATGCACATGCGAGAAATGAACGAATCAATGTAAAAAAAATGCTACCATTTATTTCCTTTTCGAATAGTTTACAATAGCTTTGCCTTTGTATTTTTTCGTGCTTTTCTCTGTATCTTGTATGTAAATCGTGTCTTATAAATGGGCAAGATTACATGTATTTATAGTGAAAAAAACTAACTATTTTTAGAATTCTATTAACAATAGAATCCTAATGTAACTAAACTCCTTGCTCGGTTGTTGCACGTTTGTTGGTGTTGCTTTAAAAGATATGGTGGTGGAAGAGTCATCTTAGGAGATAAACTCTTGCTAGTTCTATCTTTTAAGAAAATGGGTGTCTATAAGAGCTAATAGGACAATCGTAAGTACATGCCACTAACTAAGTCAAAATTACATCATAGGATGTCTTACTGATATTGTAATATATTCCTTGATGCTTGATGTCGCTCTATACTCTTTAATCTACTTCTGGATTTTTACCTATGCATGAAAATCATCACACGCTAAGTATACACTTAATGAAGCAATGAAAAACAATAAACTGTGCAATACAAATCATCCATGAAATTTATTTCATTTTGTAATGCCATGATCAAAATGACACAATATAAATAAAAATCATCTTTAACAACAACCATTGCCCACAATTCTTAATCCATGAGGAACCCGGTATAGGAGTCAAATTTTGCACAATAGTGTTGAGGTCGAGCTCTGCTCACCTAATAATGCACCGTAGTGCTTAGGTCGGGCTTTGCCCACCTAACTTGTACTATGTGTCTTTATTTGACACTCTAGTACTACATAAATTTGAAGCTGCTAGACTCTATGGCATGCCATTAATATCACTGAACCTTAATAACATACTTGGGCATCTAGTCATGAATTCAATCATCTATGGCAACGAATAACCATGTAATAAACATCAGGCTAATTCATACCCAAAATAACATTCATGGAAAAATATCATGTTGATAAAAAACAAAGTAGTCGCAAGTCTTCCTGATGATGTATAAAACATCTATGTACAATGCCATGCATGCATTGCACTCACCTTGAATCTTTATATCTATCAAAAGATGTGTCTCACTATGCTCCACACTAGATCCTTTTATATTCGATTTGATTTGATCACAAAATCAATCACAATCTGTATAAAATCACAAATTGATATTGATACATATGTTAGTATTGTACTAACATAAACACGTCTCCAAAACAAAATCCATAATATACTTGAAACTTATTTGCTACTAAAATACTTGAACACTTAATAATTCCTTTTAATATTGGCACCAATCTTTCCAATTTACACAAAATGGCCCTTCACCATTTTATCACTTAAATATTTAATATCAAAATTCCAGCATTGAAATTATTACCATCCAAGTGCTTTTACAAAGGCATAATTACATTTAAGTACCTCAACTATACAAATATTGCACATAAATCACCAAACTTTTAAATAATTACACAACCATTCACAATTTTCCAAAATTGTCTAATTGGTCCCCCAACTTTTCAAAAATTATAGAATGGTCCACAAATTTTTCTAAGGCTTGTATAATACTTCGTACATCATTTTCATCCCTTACATAATTTTTCCATAATTTTTCTCACCCAAACATACCATGGTCGAATGCTTTAAACCTTTAAAGCTAGGTTTTCATGATTTTGCTCGATTTTGATTATAATGAAACAAGAAGTCAAGTTCCAATCAACCTTACAACATCTATACAATCAAAGCTCTAATAAACTCTCATCAAAACACAAAGTTCTACAATTCCATCATTTGGCCGAAAATCATATGAGCATTTCTAGTAAGATTGAACATGTTTTAATCATCAATCAAGCTTGAAAATGAATCTAGAACCTCAAAAACATCAAGATTCATCATCAATTTCATGAACCCTAGTGTGAACACAAGCCCTAAGATTTAGTAACTTTGTAATCAAGCAAGTTGAGCAAGCATAATTGGTACCAAAAGATAGCGTTTTTCGAATAGATCATTTTTTATTTCATGGCATAATGGGAAATCCAAAGGAAATTGCTCAAAAATGGAAACCAATTTTTTTTATCTTACCTTAGGAGGTTCACGACCCTTGGAGAAAATGAAGAACAAATTGGCATGAATTTCAGGTAAATTTCATGCTAATTTACCTTTAATTTAAACTTTAATAAATATTAAATTCATTTAATTGGGAAAATACCAATTTACCCTTAATGAAACTTCATAATTACCATCAAACCAAGACACCTCAACCTTATCATCTTCCTAAAGTGAAAGATGAACAAACAAAATCTTACTTTACCGATTTGCCCTTATATTTTAATCCAACGATCCAAATTAAACATGAAATTAAATCCTTAAATCCAAAGTTTTATATTATTTTTCTAACATTTTAAAATGTTGAAATAATATTTTTAGATCTAATTTATCATCCTTCATATTTTTTTGAATTTTATATTCGATCCGATTTTCCGAATCTTTCCTCAAACTTCTTTTCTTTATAACTTTTAATACAAAATCCGTACGAAAATTATGATTCCCATAGAAACATTATTCTTGAGATAAACTATTTATTTACGGGATCAAATTGTTACTTTTAAAAGTTACCTTTTTGGTCTCCAAACCTTTCCCAAGTTTATACTTTGGTCACTTAACTTTTAAAATTTGTATTTTGGTCACTATCTAAAATTCGGGTTATTACAACTCTCATTCCTTAAATAAAATTCCTCAAATTTTAAGACGTACCTGATGTGAAGAGGTGTGGATATTTCTTTCTTATGTCCTCCTCTCTTTCCCAAGTAGCGTCTTCAACTTTTTGATTTTGCCAAAGCACTTTGACTAGAGGAATTGTCTTGCTACGTAGTTCTTTGATTTCTCAAGCCAAAATCTGTACTGGTTCTTCATAAGTCAAATCTGGTCAAATCTCAATTTCCTCATTTGTAATGACATGTGAAGGATCTGATCGGCACTTTCTAAGCATCAACACATAAAAAACATTATGAACTTTGTCTAACTCCGGAGGTAATGCTAACTGGTAAGCCACTGGTCCGACTCTTTTTAAGATCTCATAAGGTCCAATGAATCTTGGACTTAATTTTCCTTTGCTCCCAAAATGCAATATCTTTTTCCAAGCTGATACTTTAATAAAAACTTTATTGCCTTCTTGAAATTCAATCTCTTTTCACTTCAAGTCTGTATAAGACTTCTGCCGTTCAGATGTCATCTTGAGATAATCTTCAACCTTTTTCGATAAATAAGGGCCAACAAAATTCTGATCTTTTAACTCGAACCAATTTAATGGTGTTCGACATTTCCTCTCATATAAAGCTTCGTATGGAGCCATCTTTATGCCTGATTGATAACTGTTGTTATAGGCAAATTCTGCTAAAGGCAAATACTTTTCCCATGAACCCTTGAACTCAATCACACATGCCCTTAACATATCTTCTAATATTTAAATAGTACGCTTTAACTGACCATCCGCCTGTGGATGAAAGGTCGTACTGAAATTCAATCTGGTACCCAAAGCTTTATGCAAAGAATTCCAAAATCTTGAAATGAACCTTGGATCCCTGTCGGATACGATCGATAATGGAACTCCATGCAGCCAAACCATCTCCTTTATATACAACTCTTCGTATTATCCAATGAATAGTCCATTCGTACTGGAATAAAATGTGCCAACTTAGTTAACCGGTCAACTATCACCCAAATGGAATCCTTCTTATTTGATGTCAAATGTAGCCCTATAACAAAATCCATAGTAACTCTTTTATCCAATCTAGTAGCATCGACTTTAACTTTAATTCATCAAACATTGCATCATTTTCTTTCAATAATAGTCGCACATCCATTGCTCACAAAGCTACAAAAGTTTTCCAACTAAATGCATCTGCTACAACATTTACCTTCTCTGGATGATAATCAATGATCAAATCATAGTCCTTTAAGAGTTCTATCCATCTCCTCTATCTCAGGTTTAGCTCTTTTTGAGTCAACAGGTACTTCATACTCTTATGATTCATGTAGATGTAGCATCGCTCACCATACAAATAATGACGCCAAATCTTAAGAGCAAAAACTACCGCTGCTAACTCAAGATCATGAGCGGGATAAATTCTCTCATGCGTATTTATTTTTCGGGAAGCATACGCTACCACTTTACCTTATTTTATAAGTACACAACCTAAACCATTATGAGATGCATCACTATACACCACATACTGTTTGCCAAATTTTGGTTGTACCAACACTGGTGCTTCCGTTAAAATCTCCTTTAAAGCTTCAAAAATCTCTTGACACTTCTCAGTCCAAATAAATGAAACATCATTTCTCACGAGATCGGTCAACAGAGAAGCACCCATCGAAAAATTCTTCACGAACCTTCGATAATAACCAGCAAGTCCTAAGAAGATTCAAACCTCTGTAACATTCTTTAGAGGTTTCCACTCTAGTATTGCCTGAACCTTCTTAGGATCAACCTTTATGCCTTCTGCCGAGACCACATGACCAAGAAAAGCAACTTCTGACAGCCAAAACTCATACTTTGATAGCTTGTCATATAACTTTTTATCCTTAAGTATCTCGAGCATAGTAAAAATATGGGCATCATGCTCTATCTTTGTTTACAAGCATACCATAAGATCATCAAAAAATACCACAACAAACAGATCCAATGATGAAATACTCAGTTCATCAAATCCATGAATATTGTCGGAGCATTTTCAAACCAAACGACATTACCACAAACTCGTAGTACCCATACCTTGTTCTGAAAGTTTTCCTTGAAATATCTTCATCTTTAATCTTTAACTGGTGATATCCTGATTGAAGATTAATCTTAGAGAAAACTGCTGCTCCTTTAAGCTGATCAAATAAGTCGTCAATCCTCGGAAGAGGATACTTGTTCTTGATAATCATCTTGTTTAATTGTTGATAATCTGTGCATAATAACATTGATTCGTCTTTCTTTTTCACGAACAACACTGGTGCACTCCAAGGTGAAATACTCACTCTAATGAATCCTTGATCTAGCAGTTCTTGCAATTGGGCCTTTAATTCCCTTAACTCTGTCGGGGTCATCCGATGAGGAGCCATCGAAATAAGCGTTATACCTGGAAATACATCAATACCAAACTCCACCTCTCTATCCAAAGGTAATCCAGGTAACTCATCAGGAAATACCTTTGGATACTCTCGTACATTTTGATTGTCTTCCAACTTAACTTTGGTAGTTCTTGTATCCAACACATTCGCTAAAATTGCTTGACATCCTCGTGAAAACATATTCTTACCAGTAAAAGCTGAAATCATATTGGATAGGGATTTACCCTTTCTCCAACAAATATTATCTCTAAACCATTTACATCCTTTAAAAACAACATTTTCAAACGAAAATCTACTCAACCATAGTACGAAGATAACCAATCCATGCCTAAGATTATCCCGAATTCCTAAAAAGGCAATTCCAATATGTTTGTAAGAAATTCTACACCATGTATCTTTATCGGACATTCATTCCAAATCCGTCTAACCTTTATACTATGGCCCAGTGGATTGATTTTCACAATATCACTAGAAATAGGTTCTAAAGAAATTCCCTTATCTCTAACCAGCTTTGCACTAATATAAGAGTAAGTAGAGCCAAGATCTATCAACACAAAAATAGGTTCATTAAAAAGATAAAAGGTACCTACAATAATCTCAGGAGCATCTCTGATATCATCAGTCTTGATATGATAAACTCGTGCAGTAGTACTGCCTTCATGATTAGATGTTTCCTCAGACGTTTCTAGTTTGCTACCCTTTTTACTTTCACTTCGCTGCAGTGTTGCTACCGACAGATTTGGATAAAGTCCTAGACATTTATTTCTACAATGTCCATCTTGCTTGCAATGATAACATTTTCCCTCCATGATTCGACATTAACTGTAATGATTCTTTCCACTGAACTCACTTTTTTGTTTAGGACGAAATCCTGAACCTTTAGTATATGTTGAAGCTGTCTGTGTCTGCCTGGACTTTCCTCCAGAAAATCCTTTTCTACCACTGGATGTTGATGAAGCATAAGTTTTCTACTGTTGAACTTTGTTACACTTGGAAAACCATGCATAGTAGGAGTTTCCAAACCTTTTGTTTGTCTGAGCTTTCTTCGCCTCCATAACTTCAAGGTTAATTTTTTCCATAGCTTTAGCCTTATTGAATGCTTCTTGAAAAGTAGTAAAATGATGAGAAACCAAAATTCTCTTATATTGGGGATCCAATCTGCAAACAAACCTATCAATTATGATTTTCTCCATCGGAAGAAACTCCAAAGCGAAACGAATCAGCTTGTGGAACTCACATTCATATTCATAAACTATCCTGTTGAACTGCTTCAAATTCAGGAACTGTTGCATCATTTCCTAGATGAACACGGCCCTAATATACTTTTCCTTGAATTCCCTCAGAATGAATTCCCATGTGATCTGCTCAGGGGAAACTCGTGTGGCGACTGTATTTCACCACACATTAGCTTTCTCCATCAGTATAGACACAACCTTTTTCCAACTTTCCCTGATTGTCACAATGAATCATGCTCAACATGTTCTTAACATCATTCTTCCAGAAATCAGCAGCCATTGGATCAACGTTTCTATCGCCTCAAAATTTAGGTGCTCTCATCTTCCTCAGTTCTTTCAGAATTGACACTGGGGTTTGATGATTACTAATGTTGTCCAGATCTTGTAAGAACAACCCCGATCTTGAACATGCATATCTTGTTGATTCAGATTAGACGGCTCTACCTTCGACTAAGTATTAGGTGGATTCTGATTCACCTCATCACTCCCACTTTGTGCAGGAGTAACATGATCACTTGCTTTACTAGATTCTTGATTATCAGACATCCTAATGACATGTATAAAATATTATCTTAATATAGACTTTCCATGTTCAGAAACGACTAAATATGCAGCTCTGATACCAATAAATGTAACACCCACAACCTATACACTTATATCAGTACAAGTTATAGAAATCACAAAATTTCTTAAAACATTTCCCAACTCAAAAGTGATTTAAAAATTTATTTTCTTAAAATGGTAACTGATAATATAAAAATGTTAAATCAACTAAAACTACCATATGATGTTTAAAACACACACATATATATCATAATCATATATGTCTAAGCATAATAATAATATTGGTTCATATTATCCGTATTAAAATAGAATAAAACGATTTAGTTTATCCATTACAAACCAATTTCCAAAATAGTTTAACAGAGCTAATAGGACAGCAGTAAGTACATGCCACTAACTAAGTCAAAATTACATCATAGGATGTCTTACTGATATTGTAATATATTACATGATGCTTGATGTTGCTCTATACTCTTTACTCTACTTCTGGCTTTTTACCTATGCATGAAAATCATCACACGCTAAGTATACACTTAGTGAGGCAATTAAAAATAATAAATTGTATAATACAAATCATGCATGAAATTTAATATCATTTTCTAATGCCATGATCAAAACGACATAATATAAATAAAAATGATTTTTATCAATAACTATTGTCCACAATTCTTAATCCATGAGGAACTCGGAATAGGAGTCCAATATTGCACAAGAGTGTTGATGTCGAGCTTTGCTCACCTAATAATGCACCGTAGTGCTGAGCTCGAGCTTTGTCCACCTAACTTGAACTATGTGTCTTTATTTCACTCTCTAGTACTACTTAAATTTGTAGCTACTAGACTATGGCATGTCATTAATACCACTGAACCTCAATAACATACTTGGGCATCTTGTCATGAATTTAATCATCCATGGCAACGAACAACCATGTAATAAACATTAGGGCAATTCATACCCAAAATAACATTTATGGAAAAATATCATGCTGATAAAAATAAGGTAAACTTGTCGCAAGTCTTCCTAATGATGTATAAAACATCAATGTACAATGTCATGCATGTATTGTACTCACCTTGACACTTTATATCTATCAAAAGATGTGCCTCACTATGTTTCACACTAGATCATTTTATATTCGATTTGCTTCGATCACAAAATCAATCACAATATGTACAAAATCACAAATTGATATCGATACATATGTTAGTATTATAATAACATAAACTCATCTCCAAAACAAAATCCATAATATACTTGAAATTTATTTGCTACTAAAATACTTGAACACTTAATAATTCCTTTTAATAATGCCACCTACTTTTTCAATTTACACAAAATGGTCCTTCACCATTTTATCACTTAAATTTTTAATACCAAAATTCCATCATTTAAATTATTACCATCCAAGTTCTTTTACAAAGGCACAATCACATTTAAGTACCTCAACTATACGAATATTGCATTTAAATACCAAACTTTTCAAACTTCCAAAATGGTTATATTTCACATCTTAACACTAATTTCAATTCCAAAACAATAATTTCCAGCATAGTACATCAACTATCAAATAATTACACAACAATTCATAATTTTTCCAAAATTGTTAAATTGGTCTCCCAGCTTTTCATATATTATAGAATGGTCCCAATTTTTTTCTAAGGGTCTACATCATTTTCAGACCTTGCATAATTTTCCATAAATTTTCTCACCCAAACATACCATGGTTGAATGCTTTAAACCTTTAAAACTAGGTTTTCATGATTTTGCTCGATTTTGATTCGATTCAAACATGAAATCAACTTACAATCAACCTTACAACATCTCTACAATCAAATCTCTAATCAAATCTCATAAAAATACTAAGCTCTACAATTTCATCATTTGACCGAAAATCATAAAATCACTTCTAGTAAGATTGAACATGTTTTAATCATCAATGAAACTTGAAAATGAATCTATAACCTCAAAAACATCTAGATTCATCATCAATTTCATGAAACCTAGTGTAACACAAACCCTAAGATTTGGGATCTTTTTAATCAAGCAAGTTGACCAAGCATAATTAGTACCAAAAGATAGGATTTTTCGAATATATCAATTTTCTATTTCACGACATAACTTGAAATCCAAAGGAAATTGCTCAAAAATGTAAACCAATTTTTTTCTCTTACCTTAAGAGGTTCACGACACTTTGAGAAGATGATGAACAAATTGGCATGAATTTTAGATAAATTTAATGCTATTTTACCTTTAATTTAAACTTTAATGAATATTAAATTCATTCAATTAGGAAAAGACCAATTTACCCTTAATGAAACTTCATAATTACCATCAAACAAAGACACCTGAACCTTGTCATCTTCCAAAAGTCAAAGATGAACAAACAAACTATTACTTTATAGATTTGTCCTTGCATTTTTCCAAAAATTACAATCTTGCTACTTTAATCCAACTGTCTAAATTAAACATTGAATTAAATCCTTAAATCCAAATGTTTATATTATTTTATAACATTTTAAAATGTGTAAATAATATTTTTAGATCTAATTTATCATCTTTCAGATTTTCTTGAATTTTCTATTCGATCTGATTTACCGAATGTTTCCTTAAACTTCATCGCTTTATAACTTTTAATGCAAAATCCGTACGAATATTTTGATTCCAGATAAACTATTTTTTACGGGTCAAATTGTAATTTTTTAAAATTACCATTTTGGTCCCTAGACTTTTCCAAAGTTTATACTTTGGTCACTTAACTTTTAAAATTTACATTTTTGTTACTGTCTAAAATTTGAGGTATTACATACCTAGTACATAAATAATAATTTTTACCTTCATTTAAAGCACACAATCTAAATCATTATTAGACATATTTAAATGCAAACCACATGTTAGAATCTTACTAAGATAAACACACATTAGAAAATAAATTCTTAAAAATCTTCTTATGCTCATTAAATACTAATTTCATGTCACCAAAATCTATATTGACCTTAAAACTTCAAATTGACCATTCAAGTTCATTTTTATCCAAATTTATCCAAACTTCACATAACATTTTCACTTAAGTTCTCAACTTTTCCATATTTGTGATTTTATCTTCAACATTTACCAACTTTCCAGAATGGCCTATTCTCACATCCTAACATCAATTTCAACACTCTAACATTAATTTTCACCATAGTACATCAACTATTGAACAATTAAAAATTGATCCCATAATTTTTCATAATTTCCAAATAGGTCCCCCAACTTTATCAAGATTACCAAAGGGTCCCTATAACTTTCTAAGTCTTGTAGAATCCTTCCTATATTTTACATAATTTTTCCATAAATATTTTCACCTTTACAAGCTTAGGCCAAAATTCATAAAGCTAGGGTTCCTTAATTTTTCACTTGATTCAATTCAAGCATAAACTCAACCTCTATTCAACATTTCAAAGTCTATAAAATTAAACCCCTAGCTTGATATCGTAAAATTACAAACTTCCCTTAATTTTAGGGTTAGGAAAAAATCATGTAAGCATTTTTAGGAGGTTTGATCATGTTTTAATCATCAAACAAGCTTGGAAATGATTTTACAACCTCAATAACCTCAAAATCCATCAGTAATTCATGAAACCCAAACATGAACATAAACACTAGAATTTATGTACTTAATATTCAAGCAAGATTAACATTCAATAATGATACCAAATGATAGTGTTTTTCGAATTGAACAATTTTTTATTTCACGTCTTAATCCAAAAACCAAAGGAAATTGCTAAAAAATGTAAAATAAATTTTCTTTTACCTATGGTTTAATCTCTCATCCATGGTTGATTTTGAAAAAGCATTTCCATGAAATTTATAGTTAATTTCAAGTTAATTTGTCATTTGTTTAAGCTTAAATGAATTTAAAATTCATTTAATGGGGAATAACAATTTTACCATTAATGAAACTTGATAATTACATCCATACCAAGCCACATGTTGGTTATCATATTCCAAAGTAAAAGATGAACAAAATATTATAGCTTGACAACTTTATCCATGCAATTTTCCAATAATTTCAATCTTACCACTTCTCATCCAATGGTCCAAATTGAACATGAAAATTAATTCTCAAATCCAATGAACCATATTATTTTCCATCATTTTAAAATGTGGAAATAATATTTATAAATTTAATTTAATAACCTTTACCGAATATTTATTAGACTTTAACACTTTCTAGCTTTTAACACAAATTCCAGATTAAAAATCTGCTTCCCACCAAAACATCATTCTTGGGGGTGAACTATTCATTTATGGGGTAAAAACACCTAACTTTTAAAAATTACACTTTTTGTACCTAAACTTTTCAAAATTACCTTTTTGATACCTAAAATTTTCCAAATTTTATACTTTGATGACTAAACTTTCAAAATTTATATTTGGTCACTAACCAAAATTATGGGGTATTACACAAGATCTTACCTTTGCTATGGGATTTGGAGAGGAAAATGGGAGGAGTA